ATGGTCAAATGAAGGAAATTAATCCAGTGTCTGACAGAAGGGGCATCCATGTTCAGTCACTTCTTTGTATAAGCTGTCAAGGTGCCTTATTACTCGTTCCAGTGCTTCCTTTGGCTACAGACAAATAGAATTCAGGAACCAACAGTGAATGAAAGATGACCAAAGCTTGGACAAGGAGAAATGTAGGGTAAGAAATAAACTGTTAGGAGTGTTTCTCCGGTAGATTATTAAATATTAGGAAGTGTAATTTATTAATTTTTCTTTTCTCTATATTGTATATTTTATCTTAATACATTTCTCCCTATTCCAATTTAATGATGTAGGATTTTAAACTTTCTTCAGGTGACTTCATTATTTTGTTTGTTCATTTTTATTTAGTTTTATTGTTTATCATATGATTACACCAATACTAAGGGAAGAGTGAAATTTTATTTTATCCCTCTAAAAATTCAGTTATTCTAAATCAGTTACTTATGTACTTACTACATATTATCTCATATATTAAATCCCCACCACAGTTTAACCTCCCTCTACACCTCCCAGCCCCAGCCTTCTCATCTAACCTCTGCCCCCAGAACCTCTCTTCCACCATTTCCATTCAGAAAAACAGTAGACCTCCCAGGGATATCATCCAAACACAACATAACAAGTTACAATAAGAGTAGGTACATTCCTTCCTATCAAGGTTGGACAAGGCAAACCAGTAGGTATAGAAGGGTTCACAGAGCTGGCAAAGGAGTCTGAGAAGCTCACCACTCCAACGATTAGGAGTCCCAATAGAACCCCAAGCTACACAAGAATAACAAATATGCAGAGAACTAGGACAGACCAAAACTGGGTCTGTGTTTTTCAATTCAGTCTCCGTGAGTCACTATAAGCCATGCTTAGGTGATTCTATTGGCCATGTTCTTTGGTATCCTCTACCCCTCTGGATACTACAATTCTTTCTCCCACACTTCTGCCAGGTTCCTGAGATTTGCCTACTTTTTTGGCTGTGGGTCTCTGTGTCTGCTCCCTTCAGTTTCTAGAAGAAACCTATCTGACAATGATTAGGTTAGGGTCCAGTCTATGAGTTTTAAAGAATATCATTAGGAATAATTTCATTGGCTTCTTTTTCCAGTCATGTTTGATTCTATCCTACAGTAGGTACTTGATTTTTGTGCAAGATGACAGATATGAATCTATTTGCATTCTACTTCACACAGACATCCAGCTAATATAGCACCATTTCTTGAAGATGCTTTTTTCTATCATATATAATATTTTGTATGTTTCTGGCCTCTTCTGTCCATTATATTTTTCTGATAAAAACAAGGTGTTCATAGGTGCATGGCTTTACATCTGGGTCTTTCTTCCATTCCATGGATCAACATTTATGTTTAGGCCAATACCATGTGTTTTTTTTTTTTTTTAGAAAACTTTGTAGTACAGCTAGAAATCTGGTGTGGTGACTCCTCCAGATGTTCTTTTATTGTACAAGATTGTTTTAGCTACACTAGGTTTTTTGGTTTTTCATAAGAAAATGAGGACTAAAAGGAAATGTGTTGGAATTTTCTGATGAAAACTGCATTGAATAGATAGATTGCTTTTGTTAGGATGGCAACTTTTACTATATTAATGCTACAGATACATGAGCATTGGAGACCTTTACATCCTCTGATATCTTTCTCAATTTATTTCTCCAAAGATTTTACGTATTTCTCATGCAAAACTTTTATCGGCTTGGTTCAGGTTACTCCAAGATATTTACACTAATTGTGGCTATTTTGAAGGGTATTTTTTCCCTGTATTCATTCTCAACCAATTTGTTATCTGTATATAAGAGGGCTACTGACTTTTTCTTTCTAGTTAATGCTACATCCAGCCACCTCAGTGAAGGTGTTTCTCACTTGTAGAAGTGTCCTGATAGAATTCTGAGATAAGTTTTTAATGTTATCATCATGTGCAAATATCATACTTTAGTTTTTTGCTTTCTAATTTGTATCCTCTTGATCTCATTCAGTCTCCTTACTACTCTAGCTAGAACTTCAAGTCCTATAATGAAAAGATATGGACAGAGTAGAAAGCCCTGTGTTAATGAGTTTCCTATAATTGCTTTGAGTTTCTCTCCGTTTAATTTGTTGTTGACTATAGGCTTGCTGTAAATTCCCTTTATTATGTTTAGATATGTCGCTTGTGTTCCTGATCTCTCCAAGAATCTTATCATGGAGTGTTGGATTTTGTCAAAGGTATTTTTTAACTTTTTTATTAATTTAATTTTAAATAGCTTACTTCACATGTCAATCCCAGTTCCCTCTTCCTCCCCCACAGCCTCACACCCTATCCCCACTTGCTTCCACATGGGAGATATCCAGAGTCTGTCATTTCACTCAGGGCAGTGTCCAAGCACTCCCCTAAGAGTCCAGGCTGAGAGAACATCCCTCTTTGTGTTATGGACACACGATGTCTGTTTGTATGCCAGGGATAAACACTGATCCACTGCCCAGGACCCCATATGTTGTCCAGGCCTCCTCACTGATTCTCACACTCAGGGGGTCAGGATCAGACCCATGCTGGCCTCCCAGCTGTCAGTCTGTGGTCCAAGAGCTCCACCTTGTTCAAAACCTGTCTCTGCTGGTTTTGCCAGCCCATTCTTTGCCAATTTGCTCATCGCTCCTCTCTCTGTCACTGGGTTCCATGGTTTCAGTTCAGTGTTTAACTGTGGATGTTTGCCTCTGCTTCCATCAGTCACTGGATGAAGATTCTAGGATGGCATATAGGGTAGATGTCAAGTTCATTATCAGGAATGGGCATTGCTTAGCTTGCCAGTTGGTGTCATCTCTTTAGATCACTAGAGGACTCACTGGTGCCAGTTCTCTCTTCTAACCCATGACTCCCTCTATTATGGTATTTCTCATTCAGTTCTCCCCCTATTTTACCCCACACTCAACCTTCCTCTTTCCCCATGACCTACTCTCTCTTTCTCTTCTTCCCCTCTCTTCTCCCACACCCCACTCCAGCTCTCACCATGTTCCAAATCTGTTCAGGTGCTCTTGCATCATTCCTCTTCTCTGGGGTACCATGCATGTCTCTCTTAGGTTCTTTCCTGTTTCCCAGACTGTCAGTGAAAGTGCAGACTGGCACTATTCTGATCAATGTCGAAAATCTATATATGAATGAGTACATACCATGTTTGCCTTTTTGTGACTGGGTTATCTCACTCAGGATGGTTTCTTCCAGTGCCATCCATTTAGCTGTGAATTTCAAGAATCCATTGTTTTTTTATATGCTGAGTAGTACTCCATTGTGTAAATGTACCACATTTTCTCTATCCACTCTTCGGTTGAGGGGCATCTAGGTTGCTTGCAGGTTCTGGCTATTACAACTATGCTGCTATGAACATAGTTGAACAAATGTCCTAGTTATATGAATTTGCATCATTTGGATATATGCCTAAGGGTGAAATTGCTGGGTCTTGTCGTAGATTGATTCCCATTTTCCTGAGGAATCTCCATACTGATTTCCAAAGTTGTTGTACAAGTTGACACTCCCACCCGCAGTGGAGGAGTGTTCACCTCTCTCCACATCCTCTCCAGCATAAATTTTCTTCGGTGTTTCTTTAATTTTAGCTATTATGACAGGAGTAAGATGGTATTTCAGGGTTGTTTTAATTTGCATTTCCCTGATGGCTAATGATGTTGAGCACTTTCTCAATTGTCTCTCAGACATTTTACACTCCCCTATTGAAAATTCTCTATTCAGTTCTGTACCCCACTTTTTAATTGGATCATTTGGTGTTTTGGAGACTTGCTTCTTGAGTCCTTTGTAAATTTTGGAGATCAGCCCTCTTTCAGATACGAGGTTAGTAAATATCTTTTCCCATTCTGCGGGCTGCCTTTTTGTCTTGTTGATTGTGTCCTTTGCTGTAAGGCTTAGTTTCAGGAGGTCCCATTTATTAATTGTCGATCTCAGTGTCTGTGCTACTGGTGTTATGTTCAGGAAGTAGACTCCTGTACCAATTCATTTAAGAGTATCTCCCATTTTCTCTTCTAAGAGTTTCAGTGTGGTTCGATATATGCTGAGGTCTTTGATCCATTTGGTTTTAAGTTATGTGCAAGGCGATAGACATGGATCTATCTGCAGTTTTCTGCTATCCAATATACAGTTATGCCAGCACCATTTATTGACGTTGCATTTTTTTTCCAAAATCAAGTGTTCATAGGTGTTTGGGTTAAAATCAGGGTTTTCAGTTCGGTTCCATTGGTCTACCTATTTTTGTGCCAATACCAAGGTGATTTCAGGGTTATAGCTCTCTAACAGAGCTTGAAGTCAGGTATGGTGATGCCTCCTGAAGTTCCTTTATTGAAAAGGTTGTTTTGGCTATCCTGGGTCTTTTGTTTTTCCATATAAAGTTGATTATTGTTCTTTCAAGGTCTGTGAAGAATTGTGCCGGAATTTTGATAGGGATTGCATTGAATCTCTAGACTGCTTTTGGCAAGATTGCCATTTTTATTATGTTGACCCTACCAATCCAAGAGCATGGGAGATCTTTCCATTTTCTGGCATCCTCTTTGATTTCTTTCTTTAGAGACTCAAAGTCCTTGATAGACAGGTCTTTCACTTCTTTGGTTAACATTATGCCCAGATATTTGATGCTGTTTATGGCCATTGTAAAGGGTGATATTTCTCTGATTTCTTTCTCAGCTACTTTATCATCTGTATATAATAGGGCCACTGATTTTTTTGAGTTAACCTTGTTTCTGCCACTTTGCTGAAGGTGTTTATCATCTCTAGGGATTCCCTTGCAGAGGTTTTTGGGTCACTTATGTAAACTATCATGTCATCTGCAATAGGGAAAGCTTGACTTCTTTTCCTATTTGCATCCCCTTGTTCTCTTTTTGTTGTAGTATTGCTCTAGCTAGAACTTTAAGTACAATATTGAAGAGATATGGAGAGAGTGAACAGCTTTGTCTTGTTCCTGATTTTAGTGGAATTGTTTTCAGTTTCTCTCCATTTAGTTTGATGTTAGCTGTTGGTTTACTGTATATTGCTTTTATGTTCAGGTATGTTCCTGTTATCCCTGATCTCTCTAGGACCTTTATCATGAAGGGGTTTTGTCAAATGCTTTTTCAGCATCTCGTGAGATAATCATGTGGTTTTTCTAATGAGATGATTATGCATCTTTTCCAGCTTGATTATACAGTGAATCACATTGGAAGAATTGCATATTTTGAACAATGCCTGACTGAGTGGGTTGAAGCCCACTTGATCATGGTGAGTGATATTTTTGATGTGTTCTTTGCTTTGTTTTGCAAGTATTTTACTTGAGTATTTTGCATTAAAGATCATGCAGGAAAATGAATTCACATTTTCTGTTGAATCTTTTTGTCTTTTGGATACCTGAATGACTGTAGCCTCATGAAATATAATTTGCAATATTGTTTCTGTTTCTATTTTGTAGAATAATTTGAGGAGTATGAACATTAGATCTTCTGACAGGTTGGTAAAATTCTGTGCTAAAATAATATGTGCCTAGGCTTTTTTGGGGGGGATATTAATGACTGCTCCTATTTCATTGGGGGTTTTGTATCTATTAAAATTGTTTCTTGTGATATTGATTTAAATTGTTAAGTGGTATTTACTGAGAAAATTGTCAATTTTTAATTCAATTTGTGGAGTATAACGTTTTAAAATATGACTTGATAATTCTTTGAACTTCCTATGTGTCTGTTGTTCTGTCCTTTTCTTTTCTGATTTTTTAGTTTGAATATTCTCTCTGTAAATTTTAGTTTTGATAAGGGATTGTCTTTCTTGTTTATTTTTCACAAAGAACCAACTCTCTGTTCCATTGATTCCTTGTAATGTTCTCTTTCTTTGTATTTTACTCATTATAGCCCTCAGTTTGATTATTTCTTGGTATCTATTCCTCTTGGATATGCTTGTTTCTTTTTGTTCTAGAGCATTTTTTTCTAGTTTTCAGGTGTGCTGTTAAGATGATAGGATGAGATATTCCCAATTTCCTTATATAGGCACTTAGTGCAATTCACTTCCCTCTTGGCACAGCTTTCAATGTGTCCCATAATTTGAGTATATGATGAACTCATTTTCAATGAATTATATAAAGTCTTTCTTTCTTTATTCCCGCTTTGACCCAATAGTCATTCAGTAGATATCTGTCCACTTTCCATGAATTTGTAGGCTTTTTACTCTATCTGTTGTTGAAATCCAGCTTCAGTCTGTGATAGTTTGATAGGATGCAGGGGGCTATTTTACTTTTCTTGTACCTTCTGAGACTTACTTTGAGACTGAGTATTTGATCAATTTTGGAGAAAGTACCATGAGGTGCTGAGAAGAAGGTATATGTTTTTGTGCTTGGGTGCAATGTTCTGCAGATATATGTTAGGATAATTTGGTACAAAATGTCTGTCAGCTCCAGTATTTTTCAGCTTAGTTTTCATTTTTTTACCTGTCAATTAGCCAGAATGGTCATGTGTGATATAATCTTTATTAATGATTCTTTTATAGATGTGGTGCCCTTGTGCTTGAGGATTAGATATTAAGGACTGTAACAACATCATGGCAGATTTTCCCATTGATGAGTAGGAAGTGTCCTTCCCTTTCTCTTCTGATTAATTTTAGCTTAAAGTATATTTTTGTGAATATTAGAATAGCTAGTTCATTTATATTGAGAGATATTTAGTACTTGATAATTGTTAATTCCTGATATCCTGATATTTTGTTCTTGTTATTGGTAGTGGTGGTGATGGTTGTGTGTTGTGTTGGTGTTGGCAGTATGTGTGCCTCTGTGTGTGTGTGTGTGTGTGTGTGCCTCTGTGTGTGTGTGTGTGTGTGTGTGTTTCCCTTTTGTGGTTTTGCTTGCTATTTGTGTTCTTACATGGTTTCCACACATCTGGGTTTGGAGTGATCATAAGACTAGGTGCCAATTTCTGAGTTTGTCTTTGTTGAATATGTGTTCTGTCCATGGTTTGTCTTTCCTCTTTGTTCTACTGATGTCTATCTGTGGCCTGGAGTTCTGGCAGCAAGAGAAACCTCTGATCCTGGAGAGAGTCTCCAGCTGAGCTGGGGGTTGTTATTCTGGCTGGCTTGTCCTGCATCTGAGCAGTGGTCTTCAACTGAAGTTAGGGGTAGGAATACAGCAGTGGGGGGTATGTGGTGACCTAGGAAAGGGTGGCAGCCTATTGTGTCTTTAGGACTTGAACCAATGGAGTGTGAACATTCTGCAGGCAGGTTGGTGACCTAATTGTTCTTAATGGCATGGCCTGCACCTTCTATATCAGTTATTAAGCAAGCTATTTTTCATCTTTGAAATTCTTTGATAAACTTTTAAGACTTGAACTGCTTTTCTGTTTTGCAAATTTCTTCTAAATATTTTCTCTTTTCTATCTTTTCTATATTTTTGACTATGTCAAAAGGTCTTGACTATTACAACTTTTAAAATGATGTGTTGCTAATTGGCATACCTTTTCAAGTCATTTTTCAATACTATTTTATCTAATTTGGGTCATGAACTTCGAGAGATTCTCTCAGAGACAGGAAAAGATGGCATCTATTAAAATATAAAGACGAAGAACTCTGAGGCTATATAAGAAAGGCAACTGAATGGTTAATAGGATATCTCAAGGATAATTTCAAACACTAGGTGTAACTATATTTTAAGAAAATGTGTGTGTGTGTGAGAGAGAGAGAAAGAAAAAAAGAGAGAAAGGGAGAGAGAGAGAGAGAGAGAGAGAGAGAGAGAGAGAGAGAGAGAGAGAGAGAGAGAGAGAGAGAGTTTGTATGAGTGTATGCCATATGTGTGCAGATGCCTGTGGGAGGCAGAACATGTTAAAAGACGTGGAGTTGACGCTACATATTGTTATGAGCTACCCATCTTGGTTCTGGGAGCTGAACTGGGTTTCTCTAAAACAGCAGGGGCGCGGTAAAATTCTGAGCCATCTCTCTATTACCAAGAAAAATTAAACACAGCTAGCAGTGAAACAAATGTACTCAATTTCCTTTCACAAAGTTTAGATGCTTTCAGAAGCACAAAGTTATTATCTAAAATCAGAGTAAAAACATGGAAACCCTACCAATTGATATAGGAGGCAAAATATACTTTGGTTTGATAAATACCCATGAACGTAATTGCAGGCTAATCTGGCTTCAGAGATTAATTCTATCATGAATCTACGGATGACATTACACCAAATGAAGAGAAGATTACATCCTCACTGTTCATTGTGTGACTCACTGATCCCGGCAGCAATACTGAAGCATATGAATCACAGGGAAATCATAACTATGAGCTTCTTAGAGCATTAAGAAATTTTAGGTGTAGTTAAAGTAAGATAGTGTAAGTGAAGATTAATATTTAAATTTCAAATTAAACAAATTTCACCTTCAGTTTTGGTAAGACATGAAGAACAGCATATACTCATACAAAACACACACACACACAAAATTATATATATTTAAAAAGAAACTTCGTTATTGCTTTAGTCACATTTAGTGCTTACAATTATCCTTCTGATATTCATTTATGCCAGTCCTAATTAATCTCTCAGTTCTTTATTTTCATATTATTAGATAATAAATTGTTTGAATAATCATGTCATCTCAGGACTTTTTGTGACATTTATTTACTTACTTATGTTTTGTTTTTTTGAGACCAAGTTTCTGTGTTTAATAGTTTTGTCCTGGAACTTGCTCTTTAAAGCAGGCTGACCTCAGACCCACAGAGATCCACCTTCATCTACCTCCCAAGTGCTGGGATAAAGAGAAGTTTTTATTCAGTTTACTAATCCATTTGTTGATTGGATGATCTTGTTTTGGCTGCTGTTTACTTCTGAAGTTCTTTATTGGAGATATCACCCCCACCTGAAGTATAAGTTAGCAAAACTTCAAAAAAAAAAAAAGGCATGTGCCACCACTGTCTGGCTTTTTTTATGTAAATATAATTCATTCATTTTCAAAGACAATGGGAACATTTAACTATTGGTAGCTCATCCCAGTTATATTTTAATAAATTGTTAATCCCAAATCATAAATCACAAATTATCTAAGATGGCAGCAATCCATTAAAATATTTTTCATTTTAAAATATACATTTATGGAAGTAAACATTAATGAATAAAATAGATTAAATATTTATGATTGAGTAAATTTAATTCTATTAATTATTTTAATATACTGTTATTTTTTGTAGCTTTGCTTCCTACTAGGTAAAAGAGAAAACTTATACTTGCAATTGAAATATTTGGTTCTGCTACCAATGCCAAGTCCAAAGGAAATGCTATTTGTGGCAGTTAGAAAAAAGCCAACATTCCTCGGGAGCTTCTGAAGTTGTTCCCATTCTACCAAAGGAGTCATTTCCCATATCCCTGGCAGAAGGAGCAAATGACTATATGTGGAACCTGTTAGGTACCAAAGTGCAACCTGGCCTCTAGGATCCCTCAGTATCATAAGCATGTGTTACTTATTTCAAAGCCCTTGCTAGAATCCTAATTCTTATAACCTCCTAAATTTATTTATTTAAAAATACTTATTTTGAATTTAGTTTGCCCTTCTCTCCCCTTTGCCCACCCCAGTAAATCCCACCCTTCCACCCCTCAACCACTCCTCAGAGGGGGTAAGGCCTTCCTTGGGGAGTCAACAAAGTCTAGCATATCATGTTAAGGCAGGTTCAACTAAACTTCTTGTAGTTCATGGGCTTCCCTTCCCAAGGCTACTCATACTACTTATAAACCTGCTCTTTGGCTATCTCTTTTTCTCTCTCCCTCTCCTTTCTCTCTCTAATCTTCCTCTATTTTCTCTATCTGCTCTCGACTATTTCAGATGCCTTTGACTGCTATTTTTATCATACCTATTATAAAACCTTGTAATTTACCGTACCATAGAAAGGCCATATCATCAATTTATACAGCAAGAACTTTCAATTTAAAAATCTGTCACTTCAAATTCTATGTAAATCTTATACATGACTTGGTTTCTAAAAGTAAAGAAAAAAATCACGCAAATTATTCTCATCATTTCCTCACCCACAGTATCTTGGGTAAATAGGAATGGAATTGCTATTTCTGTATTAGAGCAAAATGGGGTTACTTAGATTTGACTGGTAGAGAAAGAAAATTCTGAAAGGTAGAGAAGGAATACAATTAAAGAAGAAGTAATTTGTAAGGTAAAGAATAAAACATGTCTAAGTTTCACAAAACTATCAATTCAGCTCAGTCAGGCAGAAGATCACTTACCCATTATCTTGTCTTTTTAGATAATGCTAGAAATCATGTACTTATGCCATGGGGACAGATACACATATTTTTAAATCACAGTATAATTCACAGAACATGTTACTGTGAAAGTAGCTATCCACTTTTACTTTCTGCATGGAAACAGCTCCAAAGCCAACAAGCACATCCTTACAGCAGTCAAAAGAGAAGAAACAGAAAATCAATAACTGTATGCACATCAGAAAATCAGAATTGTAACTGAAAATGCTCAGA